TAATTAGTAGTATGTAAACATCGCTTTAAAGTTACGATTTATCCAAGGTTGGGCGATTAGCAAACCACGAACGGAGCGTTTAACATTGCGTATCGGCCTGAGAGCAAATCTCGAGTCGTTTATTGCACAACTTAGCACCTTACTGCTCTAGAATCAGAAATAAAGGCTTCAAAAAATGAAGTAAAATTTTGAGGAAATGTGGTAATTGAATGTAGAGCAGTTCAAAGATAAATGGTACTTTAATATTTGCAACATAAAGCAATGTTAGTTTATGCAAATTGAATTTATTTGCATTTGTCAGTCCAATAATAGCTCTGCTTTAATTTTACTAGCTAATCGATGCGTGAGCAAATCATTAGCGCCGATGGAAGTCCTATCTGAAACGCACAAAGAACGATTTGTACGAGCCGATTTGAACAAACTGACAAGGACAAATAACCTGTCATCATGATAAGGTTGTGATACTCCTACCGCATAAAACACAAAAAGCAATAACGACCGGATGTATGCTAACCTTTAGCTTGATTAGTCGGTTAGTTTCAATGTGAACGATGCATAAATAACATCGAGAATCACGTGGAATTTACATATTAGAACGTGTATATTGTACGATATAATATAAATTATTTAAGTTTTTTGTAATAGTTGTTTAGCGACATTTCTTATGCTTATTATTTATAAATTCACCGCATTTTTTATAATCGCCACTGGTACTAGATACATGTAATTACAACGCATTCATTTTATTACATTTTTTTAAAAACTCTGCTTGATCTGAAGGTACAACATCGACTAATAATCATCAAAATTTAAAAAATAACCCCAATTCACTCGTTGCCTCGCTGCTCCATACACCAGAATCGAAAGACTGAACAAATTATGTCAAATTAACTTGTTCCAGTAAAATTGCATCTAATGATAAATAAATGACTTCAATCTGAAATAACATTTTCATACATAGAATTGCGAACATTATAGGGCGCTGTTACTTTAAAGTCACATAATTTATATAATACAATGAAATTGTATTGTAATATTTTTTACTATATTTTTTATATATAGGCTTATTTCGTAATTTTTAAATGTAAAACAAAAATTCAGCCCATAAGGGGTTATCTTGAGCATACTTCCTAATAAAGAGCTCATGTATTAAGGGATTATTTTGTAATCTATTTTTTAAAACTAGAAAAATTAGTTTCAAGTCATCGATGTGTAGAATAGAGATAATAAATGTACACCTACGAAGCTTTTCGTACACAATTGAACACAATTTTCTTCCAAAACAATTATCTATATCCATTGCATGAGTAGACTTGATACAAAATTGATCGCGAGTTTAATATATTATTTACATATGATTGTTACAATAAATAATATATGCTTGAAGCTTTATGAAATATCTCATACCCGGCACGTCTACTCTTCCCGCCCGATTCCGACATTTAGACTTGCTAAATGTGCTGCAATACATTTTGTAACTAAATATATTTGGATTGCATTTGCGACGTGTACACAGAGACACACACATCGATCGAAATAAACGTAACCAGGATTGCTTCTGAATGTTTTTTACGAATAATTACATCAGATCATGTCAATTTATTTAAAAAGGCGGTAATAATTACCAGTAGCTGATAGCGCTAAATAAATTAGTAATTAAATATTTGTCAAGGCACAATATATATAGAAATGTTCCTGTAATTTAAAATTTTAACTGGGTTTGTAATTGATATTCCTATTTGTTACTTAATCATAGATTTTGGTTATCTTTGAAGATTTATGTGTGGCATTTAGACCAAGTTGGATATGGAATAATCATCAATAATGATTCTTATTGTTAGTGGGAGCAGTTTTATTGGAGAGTATTTTATTCTACCATTTAAATATATAATCGTTTGTGCAACATTCAGCAATTGTAAATTATTACGTTACTTCCAGATATCGCTAGGTAATTAATCAATCCATCTTATTCAAAAGCCTATTCGAGTTTATTTCCGAAGGTCCCACATTTGTCATTTGCTCACTTCCTCGTGCTAATACATTTTGCATTGCCATCTTCTTTATAATATTTTTTCACAAAGCAAATGTTTGTTTACAGTGTCTCATTTGTTGCAATCCTTTGTAGTCCGTTAACAAAAGTACAGGGATATATTTCCGCTTTCCCCAACCTTTTTGCATTGCTGGATTAATCACCGTCACTACTTCCATAATTGCCTTGGCGGTAATCTTCATTCTTAGGTCGTCAGGTATATCTGTAAGGTACATTTCCGGTCGGAAATGCAGTTTCTATGTGTTAAATTCATAAGTTTGAACTGACTTTGTTATGAATCTTTAATGTGCCTTATTTTCACATTTCTATATTGTATTTACAATTGATTTCCGGGTTTTGCTTTTATGCGGCGCATGTGATGTTGAATAAAATATGTATTGCACAAGCGCACTAGTTTACCAAATTATTTCGATTTCAAGATCGAAGTGTTTGATTTTTATTATATTAACTAAATTTTGCTTAATTATTGGTACTAGGTAAATATTATTAACATTTAGTTAAAAGATATGTCCCATTTCTGCCACATTTATCATTTGCATACCCATCAATTTTTTGTGCTTTTGGCACTCTGGGGGCTTGACTAAAATCCCAAATAACATTTGATCTCTTCGATATGATGTGATGTGCGTTTGATCTATGGTTTTTGCTGATAAAATTTTTCGTTTTTCAAATCAGTCAAATCGCACAGGATGTATCATGTTTGTTTACACTGTCTGCTGGGTGTAAAAGCCACTTTGAAAAATAGTTCTGAATATTCGATTTGTTTTTGTATTCAGTTCATAAATGTGTCGAAATATGTCTGAGTAAATATGAAACAAGTGGAACTGCATTTATAGAACTTGCTTTTAGCTAGTTTTTGTATAATAATACATTGAAAGTAATTGTTAGTAGTTTAATAAATCAGTTTCTTCATTAAATGACAAAAATGATTTTCCAAATAATGTAATATCTGCTTAGGCATGATACATTCATATTCAAATCAAGTTAGTGGAAATATTCATGATTCATTCGCATTCGTCATAGGATGTACTATTAGGAAAGACATTGTTTGAAGATTTACTCAATGTGGGACAAGTAGATCAATAAATTAAATAAAATATAATTTTATTGAAAATGTACAATATGTATGTTTTAGGTAATTATCTAAATCTGAAAACTATTATGACGAGCAAATAAACCATCTTCTCTGTACTATCTGCAATGTCTCTCAATTGTAGCACAATCACAAACTCTCTATAACTTATTTTTTAGAGTTGTGCCATTACACAGATATACCCATATAACTTTAGCATTTCAAATTTATTTCAAAGTGTTTCATCCACAGCAATGTGTACAGTTTATCATCGATAACAATGTCAAACATCATTTCAAATTCTTTTGGCGAGAGAGTTCTAAATCTTTTACCACAGTCAATAGATTATTCTACAGAGTTTGTTTTAAATTTGAAATCCAAAGTTTGCCAGAAATATTGCATATTATGGTGTAAGACATTCAGTCAATCTTCTCGAAATAGAAGCGCCCGACGCTAGCGAAGCTTGCCTATGACGTTGACCCTATGCAATGGCATTTCTGGGCGCAGTTACAAGGCGTGAGCAGGGGTCAATAACTAGAACTTGTGTGCATGTATACAGTCATTATATTATTATTGACTCACGATTGCTCAGCTATATAGCAGTCGGTTTAATTCATTCGATCGACAATAATAAGTATTATAAGCTACATTGCAATATGAAATAATAAGACTCTGACACTTATGGTGAAGCACAATCCCAGACAAGTAGAATCGGTCCAGTTTTCTTGACGACGGGTGTCATATATATATATATATATATATATATATATATATATATATATATATATATATATATATAGATGATCTTGATTTTCTATAAGTATTTTGCATAGCACAACTGGCATTACTACTTTATTTCTCACTTAAAACATTATCTGTTTTGATGGTTCTACATTTTATTTGGAAAATAACAAAATTTCTTATGAATTCGCCTTATTTTTCTATATATATGGAAGATATCTGTGTAAATTATTGGATACTACAACAGTACAATGAGTAATCTTAAAATTGTAGGAGATCTAGTAGATATATATTATTGATAAATAATGATTTATATTTATTAATTTTAGATCTAGTAGATATATATTATTGATGAATAATTATTTATATTTATCAATAACATATATCTACTAGATCTCCTACTATTTTAAATTGTTGAACGTGACATATTTGATGTTCAATGAACGAATTCCTTGTAGCTTCCAGTATGGTGATGCCACACCTATTTGTGTATCATTTATGTACATATGGTACTTGCATTGCACCTGTTTAGATACTATGTTCAAATTTTCGTTTTAGTAGATTATTTATCATAAAAAATAAGACATACCAGAAGTATAATTAAAGAATGAACTGTTTTGTGAAATGATTGAGCTGATGCGTACATACTTGATTAAATATAATTTTTTAATTGAACCTGCAGCATATCGAAGTGTAATAGAGTTTATATATATATATATATATATATATATATATATTAATATATATATATATATATATATATATATTAATATATATATATATTATATATATATATATATATATATATATTAATATATATATATATATATATCTTGATAGTTTTTCGACGTTGAAACATATTTCAAAGTAACTAGCAGCCCATTCGTCGAAATAAAAAAGGTTTTTTATTTCGACGAATGGGCTGCTAGTTACTTTGAAATATATATATATATATATATATATATATATATATATATATATATATATTAAATTCAGCCTTGTTAGCAATACTTGTTTCTAATTATAAATTGGCAATGTGGCAATACTTGTTCATAATTATAAATGCAAAAAATAAAATAATTATAAAATATCACTTCTCAAAATTGGATTTGGTAATCATATTTTTTTCCTTTTCAGGTGAGTGTTAGCTGATAAAAGGATATAAGGAGAATGACCGCTAATAATTTGTCCTTATATCGGTGAGTGCAAACAAATTGGTTTTCATTAATGTTATAAATGGTCTGATTTATATACAAGTATAAATTATAATCTATAAATCGATCTAGTTGAGATTTATCGGCGCTGCATGATTTCGTTTTGCAATTTGTTATTGACCTCCTTTACACTGAATGGGAGAGAGTAGGCTTATTTCATGGTAATCTATCGGTATGCAATTCAATGCTAATCAAAATATTATCGAATCAAAACATATATTGGGTGTAGAATTATATATTTCATTATCATATTTTTTGCGGCATCCGCTCGATCTAGGTGATCTTGTATTTATATAAAATTAATAGAAAAAATTAATTAATATTAGTCATATGTGATTTGAATGTATTACAACAAGGTTTATTTTAATCGTTATTCTGCACATATAATTATAAACAAAATTTTTTATATATACATCAAATTATGCTAAATTAACAAAATAATAATGAGTATTTCCGATTATCTATATATTACACATAAATCAGTGCTCGTATCACAGGTCCAATTTACTGCATCTTATTTGAAGACTTAATGTTGTGCAATTTTATATTTTGCCAAGTTTATAGTAAACAATTTCAACATCGTTGGGCATCCATATGCTATTTAAAGTCTATAAACATTTCCATCATCTATTTCATAAATTCGAGATATTATATTTAAGAAACTTTGCTATAGATTATTTGGTATATGTGTATATGCGATTATATGTAAGTAGACTGTATTGGTTTGCGATTACCACCGATATTGCATTGCGAATCCGGCGTGCAACGATTTTTGCAAATATTGCAAAACTTCATTACTCCAGTTACATATGCAAGCTCGTATGCAGATTTATATATTGATTATATATTTATATAATCATGCGATGAATTATTAACGTTGTGCCCAATTGTGAATGTTTTGTGTAAATGATGTTCTTTTCTGAAAATCATGGAAAAATGAAAACTTAGTCTATACAGTTTCTTTGTTTACATTATTTTTCATTTAATTTAAGCAGACGTAATTGCCTCTTTTTACTTATATGCAATATAAATTTATAAATTCACACATATATATTTATTACCTTATACGAATTCACTTACTTCCTTATACTTACCTCATGTAACCACTTGCCTGTCACACATATATATATATATATATATATATATATATATATATATTCACTTAAATATGGTCAAAAATTAACTAATTAATTAATATTCAGTGATTTTTATTTTTATCCCATATGTAAAATTTCTATAAATTAAATTAATTTTTAGCGATATTTCGTAATGTTCAATTCAATTCAATCTGTTCATTTTTCACAAAAATCTATAGGTAAGATGTTTCCAAAGCAGTAATCTAAAGTTTTAACATTTTTAAGACATTTTAATCTATAGACTGTATGTTTTAGAAATGTTTTTTAATGTAAAATTTGCCTTTTAACGTGTATTTCTCCCGTATCTCAAAAGCATTTAATCTGATAAACTGTAACTGCGTAGTTACGTTGCGTCATGTTATATTCTGTGTATATATAACATCATTGCGTCGCAGTTATCCAATATTATGAAAATTATTAAAACACCCAATAATTTATCATTTTAAATTTGAAAATTATCATCACTTTTTTTTCAAATCTCGAAATAACTGGATAAACAACTACGGGAAATTGATGTAATACTAAGAAAATTATTAGAACAATAAAGGCATGTGTGATCTCATATTTGCGAAAAGTTATCAACATTAATTAAAGAATTATCAACACTATATTTTCATATCTCTTCGATGTGTTATTAAAATTGTGTTTATATTTGCTACAGGAAAATGATGTAATTTTTAAATATTTGTTAATATCAGCTGCTTGGGATATCTAAAATGCAAAATAATTTATATTCTGCTAAGAATTTTAAAATACTCTGCAGATAAATGTAGACATGACGTGATATCCAATATGATGTCATTTTTATATGAAGTTCTGAAAAAGTTTTGTAGCTTATTCTCGATGATTGGACTTTTATATTTTGACTTAGGCCTACGCATGTTGGACCACTATTTTTAATGGCAAATCATTAAATAGAAATTTTCTGCTTGATTCGTGACAGGTTGTTCTTTTCTTGACACATAAGAACTGCTTTTCGATCTGCTCGCTTCGCCGATTATATTCTGCAGGAAAGTAGTTCTATCGTTGCAGAATTCAAAACAATCAATAGATATACTACATTCTCGCCATGCACTTTGTGTATATTTATGTAACATCCCGGTGTTGAAAATCTTTGATAATAAAACTTCTGATAAGTCGTAGAAAATTCACTTTATGCAATTGTTACATACGTTTCCTTATTCCGGATTTTCACTTCATCATTAGTAATAATTTCACACATCGGCTGAAGTCGTTATACATATCGATTGTTACAACCATTCATCCGTCAATTTAGATTCTTTTGTAATTTGTTCACATGCTAGTAAGAGTCCAATAAATTATAACAATAATTAGTTAAATAACACATGGAGTTCCTGGTTGAAGCAATCATCGAGATTTCCTGTGCTTTGTTGTTTGTTTATTTTAATCAAACTGATTATCAAGTATTTACTTTGTTAGAAACGAAACTTTTTCGTTTAAGCAAATAAGCTATAAGTGGTCGATGTACCTAAACTTGTATTTAGTTAATTTAATTCAAGATAAAATCATTCGTTTAAATTCAAATGTGAATAATCTTGATGAATTTCATACAATAATATTTTATTAAATTATTACATTTGAATATTTTGAAAATTCTCAATATACCTTGGTATCGTATCGTCCCAAAAAAGTCTGTTGCGTTGGTGAAAGACGGAACGAAGAATTCGTTCGTGTAAAAAAATATCCAAAGAGTATTTTCTACTATTTTTCTACGAACATCTGTCCTTTTGTATAATGCGCCTCACAACATTTGTGTGTACTCAGAAATTTAAGGTATACATTATATTCAATCGGGCATATTCTAACGTGCAGCACCTTTTTCTTTCGATTTAGCAGTGATCAACAAATTGTACATTCTTATATCTTACATACTCGGTTTCTGATTGATAGTTTCCCAATCATCAGATACTTCAAGTTATATTATTAGTTTATTCTTTAAATACTTCTTACTTCAAATATTTTTAAGTGTTTAAAGATTGAGCATACATCTTTCGGTGTAATTTTATACCAATACTTTATAACGTTCCTTTTAAAAGATAAGAAATAGTTGCATGAAAAATAAATAAACTACTTCATCTTACTACATTATCAAGTTCATAATTAGTTGTAATATTACACCGTTCTTTAACCAAGTCCTTTTAAAGATAAGTTCTGTTTATTCATGCTATCGAATTTGATAGAATTCTACGAATAAAGACGTGGATGCTCTGAAGATTCATTTGAACTTTATGCATACATGTTGACACTAGTTTATTAGACTATAAACTTTCAAACGATTTAATTACAAATTTCTTCAATGAATATATATATATATATATATATATATATATGTATATATGTATAATTATCAACATCAAAATGTTACTTAAACTTAATATCTTAATTTCAAATATTTGCTTTTTGAATGAGAAATTTCTTTGACCACCATTGCATGTTATAAAAGCGCATAGAACGTATGTGCACCACAATGCCGCGAGGAAAACAAGAAGTTTCTTTACTTTTTAAAGACGAAAGCTCAGCAAGATGAAACGACCAAGTTTTATAATAAGAATTGCAGACGTTATAATATTAGATCTGGTGTCCGCTTTGCTGAATCATTTTAATAATATGTGTCGCACATCAATATCAATTTCAGTCTCAATAAGTTGAAAGTGGCAAAAGATTTTTGTTTGCAAATATAAACTAATACAACTGATTTTATGTGGAATTTTTCGATCAATATTGATAATTAAAGATATTGGTTACTTAATAAATCTAGAAGTCAGAAATTATCTAATTACTTAGTTGAACATATATATTATCTCATATTTTCAGTGTGTTTTGCATTGGTTTATTGCGCTTTGAAGATATATTCTTAAATAATAAAATAATAGCAACTCGATTTGTTTGTAATATTTCAGATGCATTATTATTTGTACTCAGGTGCATTATTATTCGTAATATGGTATTTTATGCAAATCTTTTTTATGTGCTGTACTGAAATTCAAATCACTTACACTACTAGAGTTAAAACTCAATTATATTCCCTTTTAATTTAAAATTGGTGTGTAAATTTAAAATTATTATAAACATTTTTATAGTGTAATTGATTTTGATTTAACGCAAACGAATTCCTAGCGTTTTCTCAAGTTTTTTTCAATTTTTTTCTTATTAATATATGTTTATTCTTCCATTATTTTTCTTTTTCATAAATTCATTTTTTGTTATCTTTGCGCCCGCATCATTAGATTCGTGTAACGCAACGATTCGGTCTTCATCCCCATCCCTTACGCTTTGCAATCAACCCTCGCATACGCCAGGTCTTTTATCCCAGGTAGTAGGTAGCAAGCCAGGTGTGTGGGAGTTTTGTACCTGAAACCCTCGGGATTTCGGAGATGCATAGACAAACTTTGTTGTAGTGCAACGATTGTGCATCTACACCGTGCGATATATAGAATAAACGTATTATATATCGCATTTCTAGATCGAAACAGAATTAACTTTCAGACGTGCCTACTTGTTTTGATATATATATATATATATATATATATATATATATATATTAGGGTGGTTCTTAAAATGGACATTTTCGAATTACCTTGCTCCCAGGGGCTCAAATGGTTCCAAATTGATAAAAAACAATTCTCTGAAAGTTTTAGCTCTTAATATTAACATTTAGATAGAGCGCAATTCAATCGAACTTCGTATGGAAAGAGCATGGAAAAAATTTTGAAAATTAAAAAAAAATGTTTTAGGTATAACTTAGCGACAAATAAATGAGTTTTATTAATTCATTTGTTCGCTAAATTACATCTAAAAAACATGTTTAAAATTTTTGAAAATTTTTCCATG